GCGATCCATTTCATACTCGCTCATATCACTAGCACATCCACTATCGTCGGATAGTATTTCTTCGTCAGACGACTCTTGGTTCATTATATTTTCAAAGTTTATCAAACACTTCGTCTCTAATATTCGCGAACTGTTCCTTATCCACATTTCTAATATATTCTGCTACGTCGATTCTCTCCTCAATGTTACCGATATTCTCGAACTCTACATTGTCCATTATGTCCTCAAATTCTAATGCTTCAAATAACTTGTCTGCATTTACATCATCCATGTCCTCAACGTCTGTATATCAGCCATACTTTTCGCATTACACTTATTGCGATTCGGTAATTTTTAAAAACGTTAACTGAGATGCCGCGCGCTTATGACCCATTATATATTCTATTTGCGACTTCTTTATCCCTTTGTCTACCCTCCCTATTGAGTTGCAGCATCGACGACGTGTCACCGATCTCACGGTTCTTCCTAGATAAATATCATTATCAACGTTTCTGACTTTCTTGAAAGAAAGAACTGTAAGAATGCAGTATGATTTCATCATCTATCCCTCATTGAAGGCGCTTTGTAGCAGCCGATAAATCGACGCCACCTATCTTCTAGACAAAAGTCCACGTTATAATGGACGCATTTTTTAGGGTGTTGGGATGGGTGTTTGGGTGGTGGCGCAACGCATTTTTTTTTCGACAGTTCGAAACGCATTTTAGGGTGGACGCGAGGTCCACGCGGCGGTGGTGGCACTGATGCCTGCGGCGGGGTGTGGAGTGGCGGCGGTGGCGGCAGCGTCTGCGGCGATGGGATGTTGGGTGGCGGCGGTCCCAATAATACGTAACATCACAACATGGCGATACGTATCATCATATCAATAAACTGATAGCGCTGGGACTCATCATATCAGTAAACACCGATAGCGCCGGGACTTCTCGCGCTTCCCCTCCCTTCCCCGCGCTTCCCCTCCCTTCCCCGCGCCTACTCCCCCGCGCCTATGAGTATCCCCGCGCCCCGCGCCCTCCTCAGAGGACCTGGGTTAGAACCGCCACTATTATACTACTCTTATAGTACTCAAAATTTTATTCCTTTAAAGAGATTTTCCTCAGTGGTAAATGTTATAAGTTTAGTTCTCTCATGTCCAATCTCGAAAACTAGGGTTATTCGACGTGTTTTTGCACGAAATGAATAAATTTTGCAAAAAGAAGTATTGTTTTGCCCTGCGAAGTGAATGTTTGTGTTTAAAATATATTTTTATAAAAGTTTTATTAATAGTCAAAGATGTATCTTAAAATACATTAATTTTTATTTTAATAATTTTTATTTTAATAATCTTAGTTGAACGCACGCACAAGGCGAGCTCGTGAGTACCCCTGGTCCCGGAGTTAATTGAATCAGATAGAATACATTAGAAAAATGCATTTTTTTCATATTAGTTATCAGTTTCCCTTCATTATGAAAATATTATTATGTAGTCAAATGTATATATTGTAGTAACTGGAAGTTGTGTAGAACTGTGTAGAATTCATTTTTTCGAGTCTCTTAATTTTGTCTGTAAAAATTCGAAACTAAAAAATGAGTCTATTAGCTCTGGTTTTCCCT